GATTTACGTACCGTTCTATGATCGTAGTCGAGCTGTTCGTTAGCGACTGGTCCACTCTGATTTGTAGGCGACGATGGTGGCTTTCAAATGGAGCAGACGACCACTGGTATGTAGATCCGTAAAGCTCAATCTCCTCGAGCATTGCATGATCAAAAAACCACTGAAGAATGCTAGAACTTTGTGGGTTTGAAAATATAAACAGGGACTGACGTGGCATTTCATTGTGAAAGTTTCCGGAGCGATAGATGTCCAAATTTGTTTCGTCAAGTTTGCAATCTTTTGCGCCTTTTTAATTCTTGCAGTTGTCAGATTTCGCGAATCAGAAATGATTCTGAGACACAACCAGTATCCCAGCAAAGAAACTGCCGCTATTGGTGAAGGTAGAAGTCCAGAAGCAGCAGTCAGTGGAAAAGCAACGAAAGCCAGCTAAAAGGAGATGTAGTGAAGTATTTTTCAGAAGAATGAGGGGGAGAAAAACCTCATCAATTTCTGCTGCCTTGCAAGTTCGCAAATCGTCCAATGAAAGAATGAAACTACTTGCATATGTATACGATGACATCTCTCTCAAAGTTTTCTTAACTCTTCTTATCCCTTGTCTGCTTATTTTCAAGTCAGGAATCCTGCTTTTTGTGTGGAATAGATCTGAAAGTTGGGTTCTTGAAAGTTGCTAAACAAAATATAGCCTCTTAGCTATATCTCTTATACCGCGTAGTCTATCCTTGGTAATGCCCTCAGAACATACATGGAGGGCGTCACCAGGGAAGTCGCAGGGTGCAATCATTCGCATCATCGGTGTTTCATCTAGATATGTCGCTAAGCGAAATTTCAGCTTAAAATGAAAATTAGTGACCTGGGACTCCATTTGTACCCATCTGCCCATCATCCGTATAAGACTCGGGATGTCTAAGGTTTGTGTCATCGTCTTCTGCTGTTATCCAGACTCTGCGTCCATCTATGCGCTGCCCCATTATGTAGCATTTCGAGCAACCTTGCTCGGAATTCCATCTTGGAATACCAAAAAGTGCCTTTTGAGCCTAAAGCGAATCAACTTTTGAAGACTTTGTAAAATTATAGTAACAACGTTTCGCACCGCCATGTCTGCAACTCCACGGTATAAACTAACATCTATTGACCAACAATGACCATCTACTTCAATCTCGATTGGTTCCAGTTGGAGAGCAGTTAATTCCGATTCTAGTCTTGAATTACTACTTTTAGCGGATAAAGTAGCCCCAGAGATCTGATTTCTGACCTGGCAAATAGTGTTTCCAACATTTTACTACTAGGTTTTGATAGAGAGTAGATTATGCCGCAAAGTAATGAGTTGACATATTTGTCAGCTTCTTGTCGTGGAAGGTTATCTACGCGTAGATATAGTGGCCACATCTCGCGTCTGTATTACATATATAGAAGAGATCTTACACAAATGATTATATCTACCTTGTGATTCGTTTTGGTACGAATCCATCTATTGATATCGAAAGCAAGACTTTTAGTCGCTTTTGACTAAACTCTTCAGCAGTTTCGATGTTCTCGTAAAACCCATCGAACTGCCGTATATCACTTCGGTCGTTTGTAGGATTTTCCTGCAGAAATGTTTTATATGGAAGGAAGGTTATAGTTAGCGGAATTGGTCACCCTATCTTCGTGCAGAGAGCCATGTACATCTATTATTTGCTTAATTTCCTTTAGGATAACATCAGACAGTTGAGGGATCATATTCAGTACATGGACCTCAATCCTCTGCACTCCCTTTGCTCGTTTGATACTTACGCTGTAAATTGGCAATGGTTGTGTGAGATCCATGCGAGAATTAACTAACCGATAAAGTTTGCAAGCAGAGTTTCCACACTCATCTCTCAACTCATTCAGTTTTTCTTCACATGCACAGCAGAAATAGTCTCGTTTACGGTCGTATTCCTCCAATGCTTCCGAGTTAAAAGGAACTACGTGTCGATTGTACTAAATTTCTGGTTTGGTCAAAAAGAAGCGTCCGAGTAAAGAACTCGAACCGTTATGGGGGGTGAGATCCCGTATATAACAGACATCAAGTCTTCCATTCGTAGTATTTCTTCCAAAGAAAGACCGAAATGTTGTACGTACATTGCATAGTACAATATTCGGTCATTCAAAGCTAAACGCAAAATCTACTTTTAAACAATATCCTATTGTAAAAAGACGTACGCATATCAGCGCCGTCGTCTGGAGATTCTCTATCGCTGTAGACACCAGACCGTTCTTCTGGTGCAAAAATTCCTTCTTCAGTAAAATTGTTGTGGTCTGTAGATGATGGAAAAACATTTATATGCGTAAAGACACAATTCTGATAATGTGCAGAATCAAAGTAATTACAGAACATAACACATCAATATATATATCATATCAATATATATATATCAACATAAATATTATAGCAGAAGCAACAGCAAATTGAAATTAATAAGGAATTTCGAATTTACTAACTAAATGGTTCTGCAAGATCCTGCGCATTGCTAATCG